GTCAGAAATTCTAATATATATGGAGAACTTTCTATTAAAACTATCGTAAATAGTATCAAATGTTAGAGCGTCTAAGCTATTCAGCGAATTGGATTGATATTTCAAGAATACTTCAAGCTCCGCTTATGAAAATACAAAAGACAAAAGAACGATTTGCCAGTATCCGTTCTGTTATATTTTAAACAAAACAGGGATGTCACATCAATAGACAGAACTAGCAGAACTCTCAAGTTGGAAAATATGGGTTCCAAACAGCAGAAAAATTTGTATACCTTAAGTTACTGACAACTAATGACAAAAAATAAAAAGAATGCATACAGGATCGCTTATTAGCTGCACACAAAGCTAACCTTGTCCTTATAAATCTTAAGAACAAGGTCTTATTAATAAATTAAAGCGAAGAATGTAGAAAATGTTTATAAGACCACTGGTCTCGGACTCGAAGTATCAAAGTATTAATAGTTTTTAAACGCATCATCTTGAGTATTTATTTTTTCAATACACAAATCAAATGTTAAGACTTCTTAATTAAAAACTACACTAAGTTAGTGTCAACTAAAATCGAAGATATTGTCGTAAATCCATTAAAACTCAAAAGTTAAAATGGATTGTTGAGCTACTAAGACTGGAGGGCAACCAGGTCCAGTAAATGATTGTGGACTACAAACATACACCACTAGAATTATGAACTATAAAATATTTATGTAAACCAGAAATATAGGATGATAAACATACTCTGGATGTCAAAAAAGAGACCAATAGAGCAAAATAGTGGGGAAAATCGTGAAGAAGATTATAATATTTCTTCACTGTAAATTCTTATTAAACATCAAATTTTTAACTCATATAACCAAAATTTATTTAAAAAGTTTTACACTTTATGAATTACTATTATTATAATTTCGGGTTGATGATTTTCAAGAACTTTTTTTCGTAACCTTGTAATTTTTTTTCCAATCACAATTTATGGATTGGCAGATTTGCTCATTTAAATATTTTATTCTTCCGCACAATAGTTGTACCTTCCTGCACGATTTAACTACAGACGGTCGCCTCTAATTTTACCTTGTGCTGTGGCAGTCACCACACACTATTTTCTTGGTTCTTCTAATCCGGTTTCAGAAGAATTGAACTTTTGGTTTGGGCAAAACTATTTGATATTTAAGATTTGCACTTTGGAAATAAAATGTAACATGATTTTTAATAAATTTTTTCTAATTTTTTTTTTCGATATCATTTGCCATTTATGCAAATTCTTTTATAAAAAAATTCAAATTCTTCACAGCAAAAATATTTATTATATTTGATTAAACCTAATTAACTTTAAGTTCTTCCTCGAAAATTGAGATTTGTTTTATTCTTGAATTTGCACTAAATGTCAAGGCAGTGATTAAGCAAATTCTAACAAATCCACAACTTCAATTCCAATGGATGAAAATACTCGATTGCGGTCAATTAAATAAATTGAATTTCTTATTATAATAGTTTTTGCCGGAGACTAATAGATTATATTATGAGTCTAATTTTATTTTTGTTAATTTCATGAATTTTAAATATTAATATTTTAATGGGAGATAATTTATTTTGATGTCTTTTAGTTGGGTATATTTGTATTCTTGTCAATTTTTTTAACTACGTATATAGCAATATATTATATATAAATATATGTTCATTTATAGTGCTTCTGTCTTCTGGGATCAAAAAAAAAGTAATGAAAAAACATCTCATATATACAAAATGTTTACAGCTTTTTAAAATCTAGGCATATTTTTATTATCTATTATCTACATTATCTACATATTTAATATTAATTTTTAATAATAAAATAATGCACCCAGGTGAAGAAGTCAACGCACTTACCCATTTCGTACTCCTGATTTGGCAATGCTTTCATCCATTACATCATATGTTTAGTTCAAGGTTTCCCATTTTACAATATGAATCGTTTAACAACCGTTTAATGTGTTTAAATTGTGCTTAAACCACAACGTTTGTTTGACGTTCTATCACATCAAATTTTTTAATGAGACTCTTTTATCGCTTGATGGACATATGAAACCATATATGTCCATATAAAACCATATAAAACTCCGAGTATCTAAAAAAAAAGTTTTTTTTAAAACATCTTTTATTGGTTATGAGTAGTACAATCTTAACTATTTGTTAATTTATTACTATTGCTGAATTGTACTTAATCGATATTAAGTAATACGTGTGCAAGTTTACTGAACCAGTCTTCAGCTCTCATAGCTCGTCTTAAAAATAACGAGCGTTTGACGTAAACCATCAAACTCACTACATCCTTATGTTTACTAATTCTTTTTGACTTGGATATGAGGCTATAAGAAAATAAAGGCATAGTTGTGAAAGATATATGGTTGCCGCAGAACAGTGACAAAAGTCACACAGGATGTCCTCTTTTGGCTTTGCTTCCCGAGAAACTTCTCGGGCATGTATTTTCACATTTTGGTGATGTAATTTGATCACTGAGATAATGTCATTTGTCAGCGATATTCAAATGTTTTCTTATTGAATAAAAAAAGAATTACTCCTTTAGCAAGAATGTATAGTGTTTAATACAATATATTATAAATAATAATACATTATTGAAATTTTTAATATTATTATCATTAAAAATAAATGATTTAATACAATATAATGTATGTTATGTTACATAAGGAATCCGAATAATATGGCTTATTTAGCATACTTATATAAAGTATACCAATGTATATAATATAATCATCTAATAAGGTTTATGTCACAACCATTAAAATAGACATTATTTAAATTTCTTTATAAAAACATTGGGAAAAGCATCAATAAATATTTTTAAATCTACTAAAATAGATGACTATGCAAGAAAGTACCAGTACAAAAGTAACTTCAATAATTTTACAATTAGTAAAAACTCTATTCAAACCTTGACTCAGCTTCAAATGTACTACTCCTGGTAATATTTATTTTAAATATTTTTTAATTTGTTTTTAATATTCATAGTCGTAAGTAGCCCTACTAATTACTGCCTTAAAACTATAACGTATAAATGTTACCTATAAGAAATGCTGTTATACTAATAATAACTAATTTCAAGTAAACTAAGTTACATAGACTATTGCAAAAAAAAAGTGAAATTAATTAAGTGATTCATATATTAGATATTTTAAAGTTATATAGCTAAAAGACATAAAAATGTCTAAAAATTGTTAACCCTGCTCTAGTGTCCATAATTTAAATATACCAAAAAAATAATTTATTTTTCAAAAGTTTTACTTCTTATAAACTTTACAGAAATAAAATTAAAATAAATTAAAATTTAAAACAATTTAAAAATTAATTTGATTAAACAATATTAATAAAATTAATTAAATTATTGAAATTAATAAATAAAAAAAATAAAACATTACTAAAAATAAATAGCCTACTTTCCTACTTACGATTTACCTGAAATATATAAACCAAATATCTTGAAATTATAAGATACGAATGAAAAAGTTCTGTTATGAATGAAATATAGAAATTTTCATATTTTCCAATTTTTTACAATATAGGTATTATAATTAAAGCTTATATCCATACTTTCACTGTTCAATTAGCAGCTATTGTTCATTTAAAGCCGCTTAATGTGAATATAATTTATCATATAAAGACCTTTCATATAAATTAACTCATTATAAATAAATCAATTGATTTAAGGCGTTAAATGTCGTAAGCAGCCTTTAAAAATAATTTTCCCAGAAGGGTAAAATTATATTTAATTATTATTATTTATTTAATTATTTAAATTACTTTTTATAAATTACTATATTTATAAATTATATTTTTATAAATTACTTTTTATAAACGTTGTATATTACTACGTTAAAGTCATTTTTATAAATTAATTTTTTATTATTTATTATATATTTCTCAAATTTAACATCAGTTAAGAGGGAAGTGACTATTTTACTTAATATAAACTATTGTATTTAATAGAAAAGTTTTGAACAGTAGTGAACTATAACAAAATTTTGACCATAATGCTATTTCGAGTATTGCTAATTACCCATAATCAGTGGTCTTGGGATTATTTCTTGTATTTAATTATTTGTTAATAATTTTTTAAGCCTGCAAGTACCAACGGTTGAACTTGTGCCCTGCCAAATTTAAAGCTCAGAGTCAGTAGTCATTAGTCAACTGAGCCAAAGCTGTTAGAATTTTGTTAATTTGCTGTGAATGTTCATTAACAAACTCATTTGTTGTGTTATATTAGAACGAAATCATAAACCAACTGTCGAATAATTAAATTAATTAATTAATTATAGTTATTTTTAATTGTTTTGTTGTAAAATACTTCCTTTTTATATGTTAAAGAGGTGGAATTCTTTATGCGCTGTCAGAGCGACAGTCATCGGAATGGAGTACCCGACTCTCTAACATTAATATGTAGTGTAGTGAGTAAAACAATCACTCTTAGGAGGGACTTATTCCTCTTCGAAATCGGTTTCGCAATAACTTTGAGAAGGGCCTTTTATATGTTGGCATTTCAAAGCATGCTCTTGTGATTTTTGATCTGCATCTAGACCTCCACTTTTTCACCGTATTTTCTTGGTGTCTGCACTATTTATTAGCCTAGTTTCGGATTTTCCTTTTTAGGTCTACTTTCTTCGCTTTGTGGACGTGAAGTACATATCGCACACTCTCTTCAAAAGAGGCACAACTCGAAATTCGTCATTTTTGAGTTAATATTTGGAACTTGCTTATAGTTTACCTGTCTACCAATACGCAAATTCCACTTTGTTTTTATTATTACAAATTGTCGAAAAAAAATAATTATATCACTACACTGCAAAACATTTTTGACGAATTTCGAGTTGCGCCTCTTTTGAAAAGGGCGTGCAATATGACTCTA